AAAATACAAAAGCATATTTCTCGGTTATATACCTGTATGTATATATATTTTTTTTATCCTATTATTTCTTTGTTTTTTTTTTATATACGCCTATATGCATAAAATAGTTACTATGTGAATATTCAAGTCTACATCTATTATATTATATATGATCATGCCGGTAAAGTAACAGCGAAATACACGATAGACATTTTTACGTAATACATTTAGGTACTTACAGTAGCGTATCTAGGTCTCTTTTACGGGGTGAGGGGGGCGAAATATATTTTTATCCATTCTTAATATAGAACATTTCTTAACAATTAAAAAAATATAACAATGTACACATATAATTATACGACTCACGGAGGGGGGGCGAATGCCCCTTTTTCCCTCTCACAGGTACGCTACTGGGTACTTATTGTATTAGCTGTGGATATTCGATAAGACTACGCGGTAAAAAAGAAAAGGATTCTATTTGTATATTATAAGCCCGTAGAAATAGGATGTAGCTGGGAAAATATTTCGGAGTGGTTCTGACATTTTTTTTAACGATCTTATTTTAAATACTGAGCGTTTTTATTACTTAGAGCAGTTGTAATTTTTGTTTTAATCTATATTATTTTATATGTACTTCTTTATTTCATTTATTACGATTCATTATGTATTCTCTTAAAAATAGCTATGTACTCGTTGTACTCTAATTTGCAATTCACACGGTTAGGAGTTGACTTCATATTTATTCAATAAAGTTTAAATATAAAATAACATGTCCTGACTGACTGACTGATTCATGATCGCCTAGCCCAAACCACTGGACTAATCGGACTGAAATTTGACACACAGATAACTATTATAACGTAGGCATCCGCTAAGAAATGATTTTTTAATATTCAACAACTAAGAGGGTAAAATAGATGTTTTTAGATATATTTGGTAGGGATATTTAATTACTTGTTCATTTATTTTTGTGAATTCAAGCGTTACCTTGGTGTTCCGGAAAAAAAAAATTATTATAATTAATATTAGTACTATTTTGGACTACCCATTTTCCACCTATTTGTTTTCATTCAGTTCTGACAGGGCAAAAACACTAAAATGAAAATGAGTAACATAATAATAATACAAATTGGTACGGGAAATGCCGGGCGTGGGACAGCTAGTAATTTATAGATCTACACCTTGTACTTACTATTTATATTTATCCAGGCTATTAAATATTTTGGTTCATAATAAATGTCTAGAAGAAGAAAAAATTAAAAATGTATGCGTGCCTTTCGAAAACCACTTATTATTATTGATTATATTTTACACTCAGATTTTATCGAGGCTTTTGCGTTCAAGTGATTTATGAGTTACCAAGTTATAATATTATATAAGTATAAACAATATAATATACACTTGATTATTTGCAAAATTGTCTGTTTTAACGAATAATTATTAATGGCCTGGATATTACATATTTTTTTCTTGTAATTTCTATGCCGTAAAAAAAAAAAAAACTAATTTAAACACAATTTTTACAAAATTCACAGCATATTTACCTATACTATCCGAAAAAAGTGTTTTCTGTAGAAAAAAAAAATCATATTCACGTATGTTAATAAATTATAAATTAATTAATTACATTTAATTTAATTATAGTTTCTTTAATACATTTAGAATCTAAAATTTATATTCAAATTGTGAATAGATATTACAACATTTGGAATCATGAAAATTAAATTTTTATGACTTTAAACAAATTAATTAAATATTGTCTATGACTTGCATTAGGGACATAAAGTAAACAAGAAAACCAAGCTATACTTTATAGACGTTACATTACCGGTTTTTAGTGAACGCTTACTTGAGAAAGGTAGACAATTTTAACTGGCTCATGATGATAACAGAAACTCATAAACAAAATTATATTTAAAGGTACCGGTGCAATGACCAGTTAAGACCAATTTATCTAAAACTTTTTTTATCATATAAATGTCAAAAAAAAAAAATGCTCTATCGATCATAAGTTCGATCAAGTTATAATAAATTCCGTAAACGTTTCCGTTCTTATACTTTTTTTTTGGTTTCACCCGATTATCGAGAAAAATACTTGGAAATCCCTCCGGTCCGAATCTATTAAATCTAATAGAAATTCCACATTAAAATTATATGCCGTTTATTATTATTAGTAAAATGCTCGCGACTATGAATTTTCCGAATTTTATATTTTTTATATCATAATAACCTTGTGTGTCGTTTTATCGTTATATCAAGCATTTATTTTGATTTTTAAATAATAAATGTGTCAATAAAGTCAATAAAGAAGTAAAAAGGAACAGCAGGAACAGCAGCCGATCAAAAAACTTCAGAGTAGTGTACCAGGAGCGTATGTGGTACGATGTCAATGCGCCGCCGCACTATTTCGTGTATTGCAGTCCTACGGTGTGTGTCGGCAACGGCGGCAGTTTCAGTTTATGATGATCGGGTGAGAGGTGGTGGTGGAGATGGCACATCGACGTCTACCGCATGCGCTCCTGGTAACCAAAATCATTTTTCAGCCTGCTTGAGTGTCTTTTCCGGCTCATGTTGTCTGCTCTTTTTCAATCGTAACTAAAACTAATTTGTAAGGTTGTAAGGTTATGTTTTCTACAATAAATATGGCTATAATCAAAACACGCAAAAGACGTTTTTTTGTTGTATTTTTAATCTAGTAGGTTAATCGAAAAGTCGTTTTTTGACATGCATTGTAGATTTCTTAATAATTGAAAAAGACTGACAAAAAACGTAAAAAGAACGATTTGATAGTCTTCCTTCCATTGTCTTCCTCCCATGATAACGAGTATCGTTTTGTATTTGAAGT